AATTAAAATAATATTTACCTTTCTGCAAGGGTTGTAAAATGGCTTTTTGAAATTTTGCACTTTATTATTTTGCTACTCTAAAATATTTCCTTGTAAGGAATACGTACAAGTAATTTATAAAATATTAATGAGAATATTTTGATATTCACATACCATTAATTCAGGAACAGTGTGTCCAACAGTTAGTAGTACTTAGACATTTTATCTGTTATTCACTTAACATTAATAAGGCCTAAAGGGCCTAAGGTTTTAGGACATGAGATCTTTTTTCTATTTTGGTGTGTACATTGATTCTCAGGAACTTAGTAGTATGCAGGGAGTTTTAACTTTGAGATAGAGGGTAATGGTGCTAGGTTATAGAGATAAGGTCTGATTCTCATTCATCCGTCTGTTCATTAAAAAAAAAAAAAAAAAAAACCTGACTGATCTTTTCTTGATTAAGCAGGAAGATACTATATTTACCCTTTATTGTTGGTATAAACCATTATTTTCCTGAGAACCATTAGCTATTTAAAACTTGGTACATAAATTAAAGAGGAGCTAAATGGATTTGTGATCGTTGCCATTAGTAGCATTTTAGATTATACAGGCAATTATTGTGTTCATTATCCTAGAAAAGCCCCTTTGCAGAGCCATTGTGGTTGTCTTAGACATTATGCACAAATTTTCCCTTAGAGATTAAAATTTCCAGTAGCATGTTTAATTTTGTTATCACAGTTGCTTCCAATAAAACAAATATTATGACAAGGAGAAGAAAATTTGCTTTACTAATATAGGAAATGACAATAAATGTTGGAAATTACTTCCTAGTGTATTTAATTTACCTTTTCTTATATAGTCATAATTACTTCAAGTGATTAATAATATATTTTATGGATGAAAACATTTTGTAATCATATCAGAGGCTATCTGGTCTGTTCAGGTATTCACAAGATTCTTTAAAGAATGCAGATTCATATCACAAGTAAAGTTACCCCTTTCTTTGTAGACTCTGTGACTTTGTAAGTTAACTAGTTTTTATTTTAAATAGCTTTTGAGAGTCCAAAGTGTCTTTTTTGTTACTTTATAAAGAGGTTTATTAGTAGTGCTTGTTTGCAGTACATAATGTTTACATACTTTGTGTGAGGTCGGTCCATCATTTAAGATAAATCCAATCTAAAGATTAATTATTAATTAAAAGTGGTTTAATACATGTTGAAGTATACTTTTTTCTAACCACTGTCTTTTACTAAAATTGACCAAAAGGTTAAAATTGCACTCTGCGTTATAACTTGGTTCCAGTTAAACTCCAGGAAGAGCAGTCACAGTTTAGAAAGATACAGGCAATACCTCATTATTGAAAAGCTGGATATGACTGTGCCACATTTGTCATTACTTTCTTTTTAAAGGAATGGGGGAAGACCGCACTTAGTTGAGTTCAAAGCTGTAATATTCACTAGTGAGAGACAGTTGACCACATCTCTCTTGGTCTATTAGAAAGGTATTAACGCCTTGAATTATCAGAATATCCATGTGCAGTGGGCTGCTTTTAGTGTTTCCATCCTCTATATGGCATTTTTTTCAAAGGAAACTATTCATTTCTGAGTAGTTTTGTCCCCACTTTTAGTCTCTCATGGCTGTGGTGTAGGGAAAAAGTGTGAGGTAGTGGTTATGCATTTTGCAAGACAGTGATTCTTTATTTTATTACAAAAAAAAGACCAACTCTGGAAGGCTAGATTAAATCATTCCTTTCACTTTTTAATGGGATTTGGATGAATAGAGTAAAATATGCACTTTGCATTCATTGATAGCATCTTTAGGTTGAGGTAATTGAGTCTTTTTTCCCTGACTGAATGAATAATGACTTCATCTGATCCTCAGTGAGGCCTGAAACTTAGACCGCCTTTGTCACAGCAGAAAGATCTGGGCTTTGAAACATGCTCTACTTCCCTGGCTTAATTTTTCTTCATTTTAATCCAAAAACCTATTTTTCTCAATAATTCAAGCATAAACTATGTAGTTTTGAAGCAGCGGAAATCGCACGATATTTGTCCTCCTTGTGCTGCTTTTTAAATGGAGCTGATAAATCAGCTGCTGTGGTCTTGAGCTGCCTCAATCTCAAGGGAAGGCACAGACCCTGCACAGGAAACAACGTGGAGAATTTTCAGAACTTGTTAAGTATAGTTGTTTCCAGACTGCCCATTATCTGGGAAAATGGTAGGTTTAACTCTTCTGCTTCAAGACTTAGAGACAGATAAAGGAGTGCCTGTGCTGGAGATCAGAAATGCTCCCATGGACTGGTCCTCCACATGATTTGTGTGGTTTGAAGGTGATTGATCTACTACTGTACTGTGAATTAGAGCACAATGTGTGCTTTTGGGAGAATGCAGAGTTGAGAGTGTTCAGTCTTTGAAGAGTTGCTGTTGGAAATGAGCCGCTGTTTGTGTCGCTGTAACACAATGCTAAGGAGAATTCTATAGCAAGCCATGACCCATTTATTGTTAGAAGTAAGGAGACATTCCTATAAAACTGATACTTAATTTCTGTTTGAAGTTTCTTTACTTAGGAATCTTGTATAGTAGTGGCAAGACGCAAAGTGGCCAAATGAGACCCCCCTGCAAATGAACTAGGCTTATTCCCCACATTAAGTCTGCCTAAGAGGGCAGGAGGGCATCTAGGAGTGGGCACCTATGACTCCCAACCTACTCTACCGACTCTGCACTGTCCTGTTGGGTGTAAGTTTGGAACCTCCACACTAGACAGATACCAGTCATATTGCATCTGGATCTCTTTTAACTTCCTATAGTTTCTGTGGTGATTCGAAAGACCATCATGTGTTTACCAAAAGTAAAGCTGATTATCAGTTTCTCAATGAGATTTAAAGCTAACCTGGCGAGAGAAAAAATTTTCTGTTTTATAATTTTCTTCTATATAATGTATATGACTGCTGTCCATCTTATTTTTCCTACTAGATTGGCTATTTCTTGCAGGTAAAAAAATCCCAGAATTATGCATTTTCATAACCTTGGCATTTAGCATAAAATGTAGTGAGCATGTAATTATTTGTTTAATTAGTTTTCTTCACAGCTGCACTTCATTGGCTTTTTGACAGTTTCATTTTTTTCTTCAGGACAGGTTCTCATGGTTTCATGAGAGTTTGTGGCAAATATTAATCAAAGACTTGTATAAAGTATGAGTTCCGGAAGACAGTAGCTTTCTACTGGCTGATTTTATGGGTTTTCAAAAGACACTATGAAAGAAGCCATGTTATTAACTCAGCAATTCTCAGAGTTTTAATATAAGATGTATAGTACCCTATTTATTTTTTATCAAGGTTTTGGTAGTTGTTGGGGTATTTTGTTTGTACTTTTTTTAAAAAGCTGTGCCAGACTCATGAGGAATTCAGATACCAGAGAGTTGTCTGCCTGGATAGGATTCAGATTAGGAAAGCCAGTGCAGACCATTACATTCTGTTCATTGCCAGGCCTATCCCAATGGCTGTTTCCCCTCAGCCTATCATTGTGTGTCGTTCCCCCAGTATGAGCTCCTCTAGCCTCTTTGGCCAGTATTTGGTGGCATTTTACAGATACGAACAATGAGATTTAAAGAGTTTAAGGAACTCCCCAAAATCACACAGTATGCAAAGAAACTTGATTCAAGTACAGTTGTGTAACAGTGACAACATGCACATTGGACTTTCTGCGTGACAGTTGTGTGCTGTGTGTGCTTTGTGTCGTTTTATTTCCGGAGTCCTTTTGGGGAGATGCAACCTTAATCCCTATAGCTAAGTTCGCTAAAACTCAGTAGGCCCAGAGTTATGAGGCTAGGAGGCAGAGTCCGCATTTGAATGAGCTCATTTCAGAGTTCTGGAAATCTCAGTAGCTATGCTGCTTCCCTTCTTCTGTCTGGTTCTGTGGCTTCCCTGTAATACCCAGTCACCCTGTATATACTTTATCTCCACAATCTGTATTGCGGTGTGTTCTTTCAGGGGTGAAACTAAGCAAGGAGAAGCAGTTTGTAGAAATTGCTAGAGCTCAAAATTGAAGTTACATGCTTCAGAAGAGTCATTTTTCTCTTCACTTAAAGAATGAGAGCTGTTTGGGTGGCTAGTTATCACTGTTTCCAAGTTCAACAACAACAACAAAAAGAACTACTACTTATTGACATGATTTTTCTCACTTTTTTGTCAGCTAGTAAATGATCCACAAAATGAATTTGAGTATATTGTATTTTACTAGGAGAATCTGAAGTGTGGGGTTCATGTGAATTAAAAAGGTTTTTATTACAAGTTAACTACCTTCTGTTGCCTCTTTTTTCTTTTTTTTATGGCATTTTATTTTTTTGTTGCCTCTTTTTTCATTAGAAGTCTTCTCAGAGACTTGCAGATGGTGTGCTCTCTCTGTCTCTCTCTCTCTCTCTCTCTCTCTCTCTCTCTCTCTCTCTCTCTCTCTCTCACTCCCTCACACACACACACACACACGCACATACACACACACACACATACATTTCTCTGTTTTGGGAGCCTCAGTCTGAATAAAATCCTTAAACAGGGATTTGCAGAGATGCTTGAACGTGACAGTAGGACCATGACATGGGACATGCCCAGGGAAATTGGCCTTTGGTCACAAAAGAAAATTTTTTTGGGCAAGGCACTGGGCAGACCTATAGCCCTCCTTTGGACCTTCATTCTTTGTGACTTGGTCCCTGATCATGGTATCATTTAACCAAAGGACTTGGCTGAGTGGTTGGAATGTATACTCACTTTGGCCTTGCATTTGTCAGCAGGCCCTTTCTAAAAATGTTCTGGGAATCATAATATATTTTCAGAAATTCTGCCTAAATCTACAAGAGGTTTTTCAGGAGAAAAGTAAAGTTAGGATATTTTTGTATTTCATCATTATAAAGACTAATTTTTAAATCTTTAAGTTCTTTTATATCATCATTATTATGTCTTTCAGTTTATAGTATCAGGGATGTGTAGCCAGCTTGGTCATGTATTAAAGTTATGCTTTTCTTTTCAGGTTGGTTTGTTGGACCTTGAGCTCAATCAGCTTACGAAAGCTCTATTTCTGGCTTTAGTTGTCCTTTCTGTTGTTATGGTCACCTTACAGGGATTTGCAGGTCCGTGGTACCGCAATCTTTTCCGATTCCTTCTTCTGTTTTCCTACATCATTCCCATAAGGTAGGTTTAAGTACTAAAATAAGATACATATCTGGTTTCATAGCTTATGATTTTGTTGGAATTTTTCTTTCTTAGTGTAAAAGAAATGATTGAAACAAGTCTAAAGAGAAAGAAGTCAGGAAACCTGGTGAATCTGAGGAGTCCTTCTGTAGAAATAGTGTTTCAAGTGTAGTTTTGTTAAAATAACCTAACATTCTATACTTTTCCTGATACGGATGTATTGATAATATAATTTTCAATAATTTGGATGTATTTCTTGATGAAACATAAGTCTGAATCTGAGAGAGTAATTTTTATTAATTACTGAAAAACATTTTTATTTCTAGTGCTCTTCGATTTGTGTGTTATTCCCATTTCAAAATTACCTGTATTTAAAGTAAGATCTGGTATATCTTTCAAGGTAGATAAAAATATCATGTAAGGCAGTTTTTAAATATGAACTATTTTTCAAAATGATAATCTGTATGACCAGAGGTCAGTATATAAATGTATTAGATGTATATTTATTGTAAAGACTTGTATTTATAATGCAGACATTTAAAAAGCACTTTTACATATTATAAATGATTATCTTTAAAAAGATATACTTCATATTTTTATATGAATAGTTAAAATTAATGACAAGTAAAAGTATGAATGTAGAGTAACCATCATTTATAAAACAGAATGGAATAAAAGAGGGCAACACTTAAGCTGAGACATGTCTTAATCTATATATGAGCTTTCCTTAAAAGTTTCTCCAAAGGGTTGACCTCTCCTTCATTCTACACTTCATAAACTGGAGTAACAGCCTGTTATGGAGTCTGTATACCATGCAGGCTCATAGGTAATTGCCTTGAGTCACTCCAGATGCTCTGGCTCACTCTTTGAGGTTTGAGGCCAGCCTCCTTTTGCAGCAGTGTTCCTGTGGAAGCTCCCTGTGTGCAGTGCTGCTTACTGCCAGTGGCACAAAGAAGATAAGACACAGTACCAGCTGTTGTGTTTGTTCCTAGAATCACTGCTCATGTTGAACTTCCTTACTTCCTAATGCTGATGCCTGAGCCTGCCAGTTCAGTCCAGCTTACAGACCCTACCTAAAGTGGTCCAGCATGTCTTCTCTCTGCTTTCCCAGGATGCTACAACCGTGCCAGTATTTCAGGCTCCTTTTTCCTTATCTGTGTTGTCTCAGTGCTCTTGTACCTACAGTTAGTCCCATTTTGTTATTCAGAATTTACCTAACTATCCACTTTCGAGAGTCCTTGAATTCTTACCAGAAGCTCTACATCAGGCTGTCCCATCAGCCTTTGAGTTCTGTGGGAGTCTCTGTGTGGATCTCTGTCTTCCTTGTTGTCTATTTCTGCATTCCACTGACCTCTAGGAGGATAGCGACCTAGTTTGGCACATTGGCTTTGTACCCTCATGCCAGAGCCAGGTGGCATGTTATGTTTTTGGAAGATATCCCGAAGCACTTATTAAGTAGACTTGTCCTACTTTGGGAAACTGAGCTTATAAAGATCATCATAGTTGTCATCCAAGCATATACATACTGAGTGCCACCAGGGGGCTTTGGGCAGTCATATTTTGTCCCCAAAAGATCCACTGAGTAAGTGGCCTTAAGGTGTTTCTATAAAGTCACATAACTACTTTATTCAACAGCCAAGCCAAAATTTACTTACTCAAATACCGTTCTTGGACCAGTTCCCAGCTTGAACTCATTCAACCTGAGTACACATGTCTGAACTCAGTCCCAAGCCCCTGCAACATCTCATCTTGTTCTACCAGCTTCTTCCATCAGATATCATTCTTCTCAGGTGCTGCCTCCTCCTTTGTTCCCACATATACAACCCTGATCTTCACCTTTATGTTGCCCCTGCTGTTGAAGAATGTAGGTTAGACAATAGGAAGATATCCATTTACTTAGGTTATGAAGTCCCCTGCTTTTCCATTTCTCCCTGGTGGAAATGCCTGTTTCATGCTAAGCATGCTCCTGTGATCTGGGCTGAGGCCAGGTAGGGCCATAGCTGTACTTGCTTATAGGAGAATCTCCATGGCTGAAGTGGGTGTTCAGTCTGAGAACCTCTGCTAAAGGTGGTGGATAAATTAATGTATTTCACTTTCCAAAGTACATTGACAGACATTTTAAAAGTATAACTTTTGAGTTATATTACACTTTACAGTATTAACTCACTTTTATCAGAGTTTAGTGATAAAGTGTTTTAGGGATTCTTCTATAAATTGCTTCCAGAATTGCACAACACTTTATTTTTGTTACTGTTTACATTGTGGTTTGATGCATGGTAAGTTTCATAAATGTATATTTGTTTGTTTATTTTGGTACCAGCAATTGAACTCACTATCTCCCACTTGCCAGGCAGGCGCTGTACCACTGAGCTAAATCCCCAGCCCTAAATGTTTGTTTAAAAATACGCAGGAAGGACCTTGTTAGTTGTAATTTTTGATACCGTCTGTATGCTGCTTCTCCCTTTTTAAGAAAACTTCTTAACTTTTAATACTAACAGTATGAAATCTGGGAATATGCTTCTTTATTTCCTCTTGTAATTTGTCAATTTTAGCTTTATATATTTTGAGGCTATATTATTAGATGTTTACAGGTTAGAAATGCTTTTGTCTTTCTGGTGAATGAAAATCTCCTAAACCACAGGTAGCTAGGTAGATTTACTTATTTATTTACTTATTTATTTATTTAGGTTTTTTTTTAATCCTATCATGGTCTTTATTTTACATTTATTGTGATTAATGATTTATTTGAGCATCTTTTGTTCTTGTTATTTTTTAACTTTAATTTTTTCCTTTCTGTTAGCCTAGAAGTATTACTTTTTCTGTTTGTGTGGTTTCTCTAAAAACCTTTGGGCCTTAGGCTTTTAAAAGGCATTATTGCAGTAGCAAAGGGTGCTTGTACTTAGTCATCCTGTATCTCCCTGACACAGTCATCTTTCAAAGAGGAAGATGAACAACGTAAACTTCACTTACAGAGGAATACCTTGTGATGGTTGAAAGAAGACATGGAAATAAAATTATTGTTATTATTCACAGCCCATCCTACTGCATTTTTTTTTGTATGTAAAATGATAAGAAGCAATGGTAGCATATGGTAAGTATTAAAGTCCATAAATAGCAGCTCTTGTGCCAGGCATTGGTGATGCACATGAATGTCCAGGCAAGTGCAGTGCCCTTTCATTTTTTTCTAGTTGGAGGTAGACATACACATATGAAGAAAGTATTTGTATAGTGGCAAATGTTATTATTAAAGTGAAATAGGACAGTGGGCCTGAGAGAACCTCTTAGAGCTCAAGAAAGGTAGGGGTTCTTTGGCTTGGTGATCATGGAGCTGTAGTGTATGTAACAAGGCTACCAGGAAAGGAAAGGAGGGCAGTTCTGGGTAGAGGAAGAGAGTGTCCAACATGGTAATTGATTAGCAACTCAGTACTGCCTAGCACCACACATGCTGTACCACACAGTGGCCTGCACAAGACCATATCTGTCTAGGGAGCATCATCTTTCCCATGTTTGCTTAGGAATCGCCAAATTTCCCTTCTTCATTTTCATTAATTTTATTGTTTTTCACTTTATTTGATGGGGATGGGTCCTGGAATGTTATGTGATGTTACTTTTAAGACTTTAGAGTGAGAGGCTATTGGGAATTTTATTCCCTTCATTTTTCTGTTTATTATACCTTTTAAAAACTATCTCTAATCATTTGGTTTTTTAGCAATATAACAGTATAAAGAGACTTGACTTTTTTCTCCTGTATCCAAATAACAAGGAAAATTCACTATAGTTGGGAAAGTTAGTATATTTGTAAAGTACTATTGAACTAAATTTCCACTGTTTTCATATTTAATGGTAATATGTAAAAAAAAGAAAATACCTAGTAACAAAAGAAGAAATTATTATCTATAATCTATCTCTAGCCAAATTCTATGAAAGCTTTCATTGTTTTTAGAGACTCAAGAATATGCACATGTATGGATATATGTGCACCCCCTTCTTAGTTTGTATATCCTTTTAAAATACATGTTTACAAAATGAGGAAGGTGCCAAGCTTTCCTAAAGGCTGTCTTGCTCTAGTTTTTCAGTGAGCAATTCTATATTTAACATGTTTAGTCAAGCATGCAGAGGCTTACGAGATAGAATTATAAATGCATCTCTCTTTAGCTCCAAAATATCTCACGCCTACTTCAACATAATACTTCACATTGTTTTTCACAATCAAAGAATACAGCTGTACAGATTTAGCAGAAGGAATAAGAACTGTAAAATGCGAAAAGTATGGGATGCTGACTTAGGGAATTAAGGCTTATATTTGATTAAAGCAAATTTGTTCACCTTTTGCCAGGTCTCAATAAAATATGGATGGCAATACATTTTAGTGTTTGCTAAATATATTTTTAGATTTAATAAAGGTGATATATATATGTATATAATATTCCATATTTTATAAGGTATGCAAGTCTGGAAAATAAAGTACTTTTCCCTCTACTGCCCTACCATTTTTAGAAGTCTTTTCAGATTTTCAAAATTTAGGCTATTTTTAAAAACTCCTGTGTGCCAAATATTATAATGTTGAGTTACTTGATACAATTTACATTCTTTCAAAGTAAAAATTTTATGATTTAACTTTTATTTTTGTAAGTCTAAAATGAATGTTTCCTAAATCCTGTGCATTTCTCAAAACAAAGAGCAAACTATCAGAATTCTTTATACCACATCTGAACTTCCCTCAGATTAGGGGGCTTGCAGTTACTTTTCTTTGTAGTTTTTGCTATTTTTGTCTGTGTGCTTTGAAGTGCTGCATAATATTCTAGTTGATAATCTAAAAATAGTCTTATTGGTGCTGGGTCAAAAAGAATTTTACTCACATGTGGGACATATGTGGCCAACACTGGCAAAATACTGTTTGACAGTGATAATTATGTCTCTTCTGAGAAAAACTTAGGAATCTCTTATAGGTACAGTGTCTTTGCTTAAACCACTAAAGTTGGAGGGGTTCTTACATGGGT